GCTGCGTGCCGCGTGGCGAGCTGGGTTTTGAGGGGGGGGGGCGGGGTTTGCTGGGACGGCGGGCGCCGCAGACTATGTCACGGGTGGCGCAGGGTCCTTGCCGAGGGTCGTGGGTAGCACTCTGCAAGAAGGGAGCAAAGGTGGTGCTTTGTGCGGCGCAGCCCTGCGTGCTGGTGAGATTCGTGGGTTGTTGCCGCCACGCCGCTTCAACCTCCTGCAGCGCCACAGCCGCATTTCAACACGGCCCATGGCCCATCACCTCCCCACCCCAGGTCCTGCCGGCGCCCCCCGGCTACCAGCCCATCTACACCCCTGCGCGCAAGCTCATGTCCACGCCCACGCCCATGATGGGCGGCGGCACGCCCTTGTACCACATGCCAGTGGAGGACCCAGGCATGAAGCAGGTGGGCCATGTTTTTAGGGGGAATGGGAGATTGAAGGGCGCGTTTCAGGCCGAGGGCGAGGGCGTGAGGGGTGCGCTCACTGCAGTGGCCTGGCTCGGCGCGGCGCTTGCCTATGCAGCCTGCTGCAGTCTCCTCCGGCCGCGCCTGTACACCGCTCCGGGGCGGCATGTTCCTCACCACCTCACTCTGCCCGCTCCAGCTCAACCATCACCGCCCCGCCCCTGACCCTGATTTCGCAACCCCAGGCCGTGCCCCCCCAGCTGGAGGGCCTGCCGGACATGAAGCCCGAGGACATGGCATTCTTCGGGAAGCTGCTGCAGGCGCGCGGGGCACGGGGGGTCGGGCCGGGTGCCGCGCGGCGGCGGGCTAAGAGTATAGCCAGCATCGCGTGTAGGTCGCAGCTGTTTCAACAGCCCAAACTGGTCAAAATGTTTTATGCAGCATATGCCCTAAGCGCTAGCATTCTGACCCCCACCTCGCCCTTGGACTCTGCAAGCCACTTCTTCCTCCCCCCCTTTCGGCCTGACTTCCAACCTTCCCCATCTGCACCAAACACACAATACTCACGGCCCGCGCTCACCCCCTCCAGGATGCGGAGGACGCGGAGCTGAGTGTGGAGGAGGCCAAGGAGCGCAAGATCATGAAGCTGCTGCTCAAGGTCAGAGGTTTCGGGGGCAAAGCGGCCAGAGCGGCGGCAAAGAGGGCGCGGGCTCCCCGGTGGCAGCTGGGGTGTTCTGGGTAACCCCCGAAGGGTTGTCTTCGGCCTAAAGCCAGGCAACGGGAGAGGCTAGGAGGAGCCCCTTCGGCCTCCTCGTCACACAAGTCAAAGCTTGCGATGCATCGAATCACTGGCTTGCTCTCAAACCACCCTCACGCGACCCTGCTACCTCTCCC